CAAGTTAAATAATTCATAGCGGTAATACCACTTATATCATCAAAGCTATTCAGCTTTCCGGTTTTAGTGAAGGAAGTTATGCAATAATCAACCTTATTTATTCTATACAAAAAGTTGTTTTGAGTGAATTGGAAGACGTGTTCGATTACAGATTAATTGTTTCAATATTATTATCTCAAATTATTTCAGTAGTTAATACAATGCGCGACGGCGTGCTCTAGATATTCTAAGGTGTAACTAATAATTACTCATATTTTTGTAAACACATAAATGAATAACTCAGCTCTCAGTAGCTCTTCTGCGCAAGATTTTTTTGTAGGTCTAATACCTAAATTGATAACAATGACAATCATACTTCTGAAATAGTTTAGTATTTATTAGTCTATAAGTCAGGATGCTTGAAGATCTTCAGAGTGTGATAATTCGGCCATTACCCTTCGTTAAGTGTTACATAGAAAAGAGTAGGGTGAAAAACATAGTCTTTATTAAAGAATACGTTTTATTTGGTCTACCTATAACGAGCTATATGATAAAATTTATTATTACACTCACTTATTAATTGTTGTATCATCATGAAATTTGAAAAAATTAAGTAGATAAGATGACTATACAATATAACGTTATGGTACTATCGACCAAGTTTTGTAGTTGAGGGAGGAAAATTATCCAATGTCTTCGCTCTGAGTGGGGCAAGAGAGGCTATCAGAATTTTACAGATTTAAAATCCTGTTTTTTTCTCCTCCTCCAGGCAGATGCCACAAAACATGATTTTGCATACACCAGAAACCCCACTTGCACACCGGCTCAAGTGGGTCCTATCTGTAATCGCAATTGGAGACGCGTGCACACGTTCGGGTATTGTACTGGTCGAGTGGCAAGTACCAGACCCATCCGTTCATAGACTTACATCAGAATCTTTCGAGCTGATGGCTTAATGCTCGAATTCTAGAAGGTGGTTGAGGTTGGGTATTTTTACTTGGCAACACACAAACTTGGGGCTTATTGTAAATCTCTTGTAAACCTCCTGATAACGTGTTCGACGTTATTTTTCTTTAAATTTATTAAATATCTGTATATCATATTCAAACTTATTTTTGATTGTTTCAGGTACGTGCTTCAGTTATGGCTTCTACGGAGTAATCGCGGAAGAAAATTCTTCAAAACTAAATATACTGCCTAAGTACTAATTAGTTTATACTAAATATTTACCTACCTAAATATCTACCAAATATTTTTTTTTTCCATTGCCCCACTGTAGGATTTTCTCCTGTGTTGTGGGTGCGTTTACAAACATACAATGTCACATACACATGACACCCAGACCCGAAACAACAATTTGTGGATCACACAAAGTGTTGATCCGTGCGGGAATCGAACCCGCAACACTTTGCACGGCAGCCAGTTGCTCAGCCACCGCACCAACCGTGCAGTCAAACTCTACAACGTCATATCTTTTAAATTAATTAACAATTTAATAAACGTCACATATTAATTTACTACCGTAAACTAATAGAAACGATAAATAAAATCAAAGTCCTATTTCTATTAAATGTATGTATACGTAGCAATTCAACAACTCATAATTTAACTTAAACTTTTCGCAATTAACGTGATGGCCATTATCATTTAGCCCTTAGCCCCCGACTCTGGCTGGACATAGGCTCTAGAAGACCCTCTGGCTGGACATAGGTAAGGCCTCTTTAAAAAAACCCGCAGAAGCGTAGAAATTATTACTAAATCTTCTATATTATACTACCTAATCATTAAAATTTTTCCTCGCTTAATATTAGACTAGGGTAAAATCTGAATGTCTGTTGAATCAATTTTCAATGTGTTTGTTCCGGTGACATTACGGTCCCAGGATTCCCTTCCCCAATACCTAAATCTCGACATCAGTAATCCCTAAAAGGTCAACAATGCACTTGTAACTCCTCTTTTGCGGGTGTCCACCGGCGGCGCTGATTGCTTACCATCAGGTAATGCGTCTGCTCGCTTGCCGATCTATTATATAAAAAATAGGTTATTAACATTTTACCAACGGAAACTTAGTGGCAGCATTTGACACAACTGGTATTAACCATCTATGACAAGTTCAAAAGCGAACATTCTACTTATACTTAAAGGAACTTTTAATCAAGGTTATTATCCTTAACATCGTTACCAAATTGTCGGAACCCGTTTAAGTTTTGAATAGTTTGGGATAAAGGCTTTTCCTAAATAAACCGATACGTTGCATGTTATAATAATATGCTATTGTTTACAGATTTTATTTTAACTCATATTCCTAACCAAAATCAAGGGATAATCCAAAATAATTACATATTTTGCCGAGTACGAAAAAATCCCTAGTTTACATAATTATTAAATTAAATATTATTATGTTTTTTTTTGACATATCTTATTAAATAAATAAAGAAACAATACAATTAAATAAAATCTTTTATGTAAGTGCATATTTCCCTTACTGTCAGTACTTATATTCATCTATGTCCCTAACACTATTGACGTTTCAATATTAAATAGTACCTATATACCCTTATCTGTTTATTTATACTTACACAAATATTGACTTATCAGATAAAAATATAATATTAACTGAATTCGTAGTATCAAACGAAAATTGATATATTTTGATTTATTAACATAAGCTTGAATGACTACAATTACTTGCAGAATGAAGAAACAGTCATTTATTTAATGCCTTGTCAAGATAATCTTGACATTAATGTTGGTTTATTGATATTTTATCGATGTAATATGTAACTAAACTTATTCCAAATTAAATCAATAACATTTTAAAATCACATCTGATCATAAGCCTATCCCGACCTTAGTCGAGGCCATGGTGCGGAGCGAGAGGAACTGGAACACCGTCTTCTTTTTCTGTGAAGCGATTATGCTCACAAAAAAGGCGGCGGAGCAAGTGAAGGAGCTGGACAACTTTGCTCAAATCAAATGGGTGATTGCAAACGTATACAATTTTAAGTTTTTTAGGTATTTACCCACTATTATTTCCTCCGAAAGAATTCTTACTCGGAAAATCACATGAGTACAAACTAGGTTTCGAACCCGCACCCTTACACCTCAACCTCCAAGCTACAAGGATTTAGGATTATCTTTTTAAGATAATTAAAATAAAATGAACTATTAAATTTATTAAGATGATAGTAACACTTCGAACTCGTAGTACAGAAAACGTAGCGCTGTGCTACGAGAGTGCTACGAACCGGTTACGAATCAATGCTGCTACGCTTCAGATGAGATTGCAATAGACATACTTTAGAGTAGATAAAGTTAGCATTATTCGATTTAATGTCATTGTTGATATAGTTCTGAAATAAGTTATGTGGTTTATCATAAATTTACGTGTGACGGTCGTAAGAAGTTGATATTACGAAATTAAATATAAAATGTTTCGCATAAAACAGAGCGATTTAAAAAGTACTATCTATTTAAGAAATGACTAAAAACCTAAACCTAAAAAGAAACGTGAAATTCTGTATTCAAATTAGTTTAGTATTAAAAGTAAAAAAGTCCATTATCATTGACTACAAAAGTAGTCTAAAATCTTTTTCAAATTATTTCCAAATAACAACAGTTCTGATAAAGTTAACTTTGCCTTTGAAGTAAGTGTAAGTGGCGAGCAGTAACCATCTACTAACAAGGCCGGTTACTGTCTGTTGTTCATACAGTTAGCAATCAGTTGCATGACTGTTCCCAAACTGTACTCGCTAACTTGGATCCGGTCAAACTTAACTATTTAGATAGTTCGGTTGCCTGTTTAATACTGGCAGTCCATAATTTTTATTATTTCATTTTATTTATTTGGCTCAGAAATAAGGATTAACACAATATTAAATGCATTCATTATTTAACAATAATTTTTTTTTTTTTTTTTTTTTTTTTTTTTTTTTTTTTTTTTTTTTTTTTTTTTTTTTTAAAAAAACGTTGCCCCACACTAGGATTTTCTCCTGTGTCGTGGGTGCGTTTACAAACATACAATTTCACATGCACATCACACCCAGACCCGGAACAACAATCTGTGGATCACACAAAGAGTTGTTCCGTGCGGGAATCGAACCCGCGACACGTTACGCGGCAGCCAGTTGCCCAGCCACCGCGCCAACCGTGCAGTCAAGTATAATTGTGTAGAAGTGAGCCTTATTATATTCAAAACTTATCAACAATTTATTCTGCTCATAAAAACTAACTCTGTTCGTGAGCTTGTAGTAAATCTACGGGGCGTGGTATCGGGCCAACGTCAAGTGTTCTCGACGACTCTTGAAACACCGATAAATTTTCTTTTTAAAAAGCCAACATAACTAAATTGCTTTGCCAGGTCAGGTTTAAAACAGAATTCCAATTTCAATATTTTACTGTCTGCATTATCTTGCAAATAATTTTAATAATAAATAAACAGTGAATCCAGATATACCATGTTTACCTTCTATCCAGGGTCTATAACCAGCCACATCCATACCATTTACTTTTATGAACACAATAGTTCTAGTTCATATTTTGTTTATATCAAAAACTATTGCACCTTGAAAGATTAGGCTATCAGCAAATCTTAATTTTATTTCAACGTGAACACAGGTTCAACTGTAATTTTGTATATCATTTATAATTGATACAACGAAACATTAGTATTACGGCAATAATATGTAATAATATTTACTTAACAATGAAAATATCAAAACATTAATAGTTTGCTTCTCCGAAAAATAACCTTTCCTACAACGTGACTACCGATTACATGGATATTCAGATTTTGTCTTAAAATGACCGATTATGCATATTATAAATCTAAAGTGAGAAACATATGAAACCTTATTGCAAATCCGACAATATTGATAATTTCTACAACTCATTATGTAAAATCTATTTAATTATACCTAAGCCAGGAAAATTGTTAAGCTACGAATATAGGTATGGTATTGATATCTCGTGCTAGTCTTATTAATATTTTTGTTTGTAAAAATGACAACAAAATTTATTTAATGGCAACAAACGTTTATTGAAAAGTAAAATAGAACACAAGAGGACACTGCTCCAGTTTACTTAATTAAAAACATTAATTTTCTTAGTAAACTGAGTAAAAATGCCTTTTTATGAGTTGGAGGAGATCCAAGATGCGTAGCGGGACACGCGAGCGTTGACACCAGGGAAGTTAGCCTGACCACATCCAATACCGAAAGAGCAGACACCAACAACGACGTTGTTGTGGTACAAAGGACCACCAGAGTCACCCTGGCACTGGTCACGACCACCAGAGGGCCAGCCAGAACACAACATGTTGGCAGTGATAGTGATTCCGCGGGTAGCGTAGTTGTTTCTGCAAGTGTTCTGGTTGATGATCTGCAGCTGCACGTGGCGGAGCTGCTCGGAGCCGGAGCTGGCACCAGACTGAAACAAAGAAAAGATGTGACTAAAGTTTTATGTCATGTCACCAAAGTCCGTTACTGATAACAACTTTAATAAGTTGTTGTAATATTTTTTTTTATATATATATGTAAGTTAGTACTTACAGAGGTAGTTCCCCAACCAGCAGCCCAGACAGCCTGGTTGTCAGCGACGTTGTAGTTGGCACCAGCAATGGAGGCAGCGCGGACATTGTTGTTAAAGGAGAAGGAGGAGGCGGAGCGGAGGATAGCGATGTCGTTGTCCAAAGTTCTGGAGTTGTATGAACCGTGGACGATGTTAGCGTTGACGTTGTGAACAACACCTCCACTGTTGGCCCAAGTAGAACCTAAACGGATTCTCCATCTGTTGACCGCGTCACCACTGCAAAGAAAATTTAGATAATATTAAGATTTTTTTTATTTCAATTCTATGCGAGTAGTTACGATGTTTGGAATTTTGTTACTAAATCACGCCAAAACGGCTGGAAGCATCTGAATGAAATTTGTCACAGGCATAGGATGCACTCCGGAATAGAATACTTTTTATCAATATACAATGCGGGCGAAGCTGCGGGCAGATGCCAGTAAATTCAATAAACAAGATACTTACTGAGTGCAGTGAGCAGCGGTAAGGATAGCACGGTTGTTCAAGATGGTACCACCGCATGCCTGCCAGTATTGACTTAAGTTCCATGAGTACAACAGAGAGGCGATGGTAGGGTACCGATCAATGGTGGTCACCGAACCGCCCACAATCCTTTGGGGATTGGATGGGACAGCTACAAAAAAAAAACAATGTCAATCTAACATGAAAAAATGTTGATCAAACTAATGTTATAGTCATTGCACATTCAGCATATTTTGATGAATACCACCAATGCAGTATGAAACCGATTGCTACGCAACGTCCCACGGAAGCGATTTAAGACAAATTTTAAGCTAATTATTTCTTATTTGAAGAAATGAAAATATAACCAAACCTATACGACTCAAGGCAATTAAGAAACAAAGATTTTTTTAATGAAAGTATTTTGAATAGCAAGACTTTCACTGTTAATGTACTTACCTACGACGGCAGCGAAGCAAAGGGCCAAGAAAACGAAGACGCGCATTTTGTCAATCACCCGCTGACAAGTGTAATGAATGAAGTTATGCTGGTGGTATTTATATCAGTATGAATGTAAGAAGAGCAGGCTTAATAGGTATTATCTGCTGTCATGATCCATGATAAAGATTTAATGATAATGATGAAACTGAAATACAACTTCGCGATTTTGTTTTGCTTCCATAATATTTAAAATTATGCTTTTTCAATTTCGATTTATATTTGAAAGTCCCTCTTCGCGAGTTCACTTTAGTTACTCATACAGAAATAACCTGAACTAATGCCTAAAAATGAATTCGGTAATTTATGGTATTTCTATGTTTTTGATCAGAAAAACATATAAAATATTTGTAGTTACTATTTTGTGGAAACGGTATACTATTATGTTTATCCGATTCTTGATCGCACACAAATAGTATAGTGCAACCTTAACGACCTAAAATTTAGTAATCCAGGATATAATTTATAGAAACGATATTCATTTTGTTTACACAGCCTCCAGTGTCAATATTATTGGCCCTCGCTGAAAATCAGCGCTGCGACACTGTCTCGCATAGTACCGCTGCGTATGCTGAGCGAGGGCCATTTCGCGTGCTTGTGACGCATATTTTTCCTTGTATGACTTTTTTATATTGTATTACCATGTTTTGTTGTTTTTGTGTTTATACATTTGTTTGTTGTGTCTTATGTGCGTCCTAGACGCGAATAAATACTTTTTCTTTCTTTCTTTCTATTACTTTGTTAACTGAAACTACTCCTGTGTCCAATATTTCTTTTATGGAGAAAGAAATATATTTTTTCATATCCGAACTGTACAGAAGGACAAACAGTTTTTAATTGTATATTAAAGAGATGATTGATTGATAATACCAAAAAATGTCATCAAAAGATAATGAATGGAATGATCCAATAAATCATTGATCATTTTGAGGTGTAACATATATAAAAGGGATTATGTCGTGGAATTCTTCTTTACGAAAATATTCTACTTTGAAATTGTGAGGAGGTTAGTTGTATGTACAGATTGCCTACTGATGAAATCGTGTATTGGAAGTGTTTGTTTCTCGGTGTAGTGATGGTGTGTTTAGTCATGACAATTAATTTTAATAAATTCGTGTGCAGGTCAAAAATGGATTTGTCTATCCTCTGAATTTTCAGTCAAGTCAGTGCTTCCTTCGGGGTTGCGGGGTAAGCGCAATGAGGCACCGCGACCTCGGCCCAGAGCAGGAGAAGGAACGGGGGGCTTTCAGTCAGTAAGAGTCTGACACTCTCTCTCGCCTTACCCTGGGCGGGAGAAGTGAATGGATGATTTTACCCTGACAAAAAAAATAAAAATAAAAAAAGGCAGTGCTCCCCTGTGACTTAAGCAGAGATAAAGATGTTTCAAAGGTTATCATCCAAAATATATCTTTGCCATCTATTTGGTTCAACAAGGAGTTTTGAAAAAATTGTTTGCAAACTTTTTTATTTTGGAGAAGAATAGAGGCTGAAATTCACACAGGTGAAACATATTAGATATTGCTGAACTCAGAATCAGCAATTCAGTAACGCAAGTAATGACAAGAATTCATGTAGTTGAAACTTAAATTTTATTACTTTTTAAACAACAAAGTTCAAAACAGTTTCATCCATTAAATTAAATTTAAATTTCAAAAAGAAATTGATGAATGTCAATCAGACAAACGTAAACTAGAAACGCACTGAAACTGAATACGTAATAGCCAATTATTTAAAAGATAAGAAATCTAACATGCAAGGCAATTCATTTATTTTCCATGAGACATTAATTTCGCGTTTCTTATCTTTATTATCAATTATGTTTTGGCGCATAACAAAGTTATCTATTTTTCCATTAAGGTCTTTAAACTAATACCTGGTATTTATAAAATTTCAACTTAAAAACAGTGACGCTGCTACTTTAACACTTAACAGTTTAGATCATCAATGGAATCCCCATATTGTAAGAAGAATGTGTTATTATTGTGTTATATGGCAAAGGAGCAGACGAATTACCTGATGGTGAACCAATGGCGTCGAGCATTAACCGCTGCAACATCACAAAAATGCTTTGCAGCCTTTTTAATAAGAGTCACAGTACTACAATGTATTGAGACACAGAATGTAACTTCTAAAAAAGTTTAATGAAAATTTCTAGCTTAACGGCAAATTTATAAACATGATTAATTATACCGTTACCCGTTGCCTGTAAAACTATTTTGCATAACAATCGCATTAGAATGACCAAAATGATTTTATAATCACACAAAGCAGTGATCTTAAATTTTATATGTCTGCATCGTTAACTAGGAATGCAAGAGAATTAATTGATGGAGATTTTGAAATTAATGAATCAAAATGACAACATATAACAAAAATATTTTTTTTTTATAATATTATAGATTGTTTTGTTTCTGTGCAAATAACTTATCGCTCAATAATATCATTTTATTTACATAATATAAGAGCAACTATATCATTGTTTCATACAATAAAAAACATATATCAGTATGCACGTTTTATTTTAAATTTTCAAATTACGATAAACATTCGTTTTAGTAACATTGTAATTATTGTTATTTATTTCTTAGCGCATTGGTCATAATTCCCTTTAGGCGTTCGAAGTTATCCAAGATGTGTAACTAGATACCCGAGTGTGAACACTTTGGAATTCAGGATTAGAAATGCCAGATCTAAAGGCAAACACACCAATGAGAACTCCGTTGTGTAGGAGAGGAGTGCCAGCGTCTTCTGAGCAGTGCCCACGGTTACTAGAATCCCAGCCAGCACACAACATGTTGTCAGTGATTGTGATACCCCGACTAGCGTAGCTGTTCCTGCATGTGTCCTGACTGATTGTGACAAATACAACTTCGCGCATTACCTCAGGAAACCGCCTATTCTCTGAATAACCCTGCAATTAAAAAAAATCCATTGTGTAGCATTTCAAATTCAACAGCTGGTATAATTCTAGACTCTAGCTGAAACTGAGAAAGTTTTAAGGATAGGAATAAATCAAATACGCTTGCCTGCCTCGGGAACGAAACCTTTGCTTGGCAGTCACATTTGCGGATACTCAACCATTAAAGCATATAGTAAGATTCATTGTGACACAAGAGTTTTTTAAAAGTGTCGACTAGCTTGTTTCAAATCATAATGGAATTTAGTATGTCGTTCTTTAGATATTTTTAAAAAACATAAAAGTAATTTAACTAAAAATCGCGGGTCACCAAAGCTCATGAGCAGTTTGCGCGGACGCAGCAATGTCGCGCATCCTACTGTAGGAAGAACCCCTCTGTGGTTCGAAACTAGTAGAGCTTTTAGAGCTTTTCTCAGTATATACACGTGAGTAACTCGCGATTTTTAGTTAATTTAGTATGTCTCACGATAGTTATTATAAAAACATAACATAAGAGTAGTATTACCATAGATGCAGTGCAACCGGAACCCCAACCCCAACCAACACCTATGACTCCTTGGTTGTCTGCAACGTTGTAGTTAGGACCTGCGATGGATGCAGAGCTGACTATGTTACTGAATGTAAAGGGGACGACGACGTGGAGGATAGCGATGTTGTGGTTCATAGCTTTAGAAGAAAATGAAGGATGAACGATGTGGCGTAGGATCTCGTGGACGTAACCACCGCTGTTGCCAAAACTTGACCCAACACGGACGCGCCACAAGTCAATTCTATCACCGCTGCAAAAGGAAGTTAATATATAATTAAAGTCACACATTAGAAAGTGCATTACGTGATTAAAACCTCTTTTAACAACGGACTTACGTTATACAATGAGCAACAGTTAGGACGGCGCGATTGTTGAGGATAGTGCCAGCGCAGGTCTGCCAGAACATGTTAAACCGATCCAGTTGCAAGAGAGCAGCCAGGTAAGGGTAGCTTCCGATATTGGTGCCCGAACCTCCCCATATCTTTTGAGGACCGGATGAAGATTGGATGCCTGATAAGAAATAGATTATATAGATTTCTTGCACAAAAAATTTAAAAAAATATATTTTACTATAATTCTATTATTGATCCACCCCGGTTCTGGACGGGTGTAATGCTGATGCTAAATTTTTCTACTATTTCACGAATTATAATCATTATAAACCGTCCTCGTCATTACTCTATTTATTTAAAAGTACCGCATAAAAATCTGTTATGTAGTTTTACAGATTTAAGCATACATATACATATAGTGATATTCGGCTTACTTGCTAACCTTTTTATGTATAGAAAGAAAGAAAGAAAGAAAGAAAGAAAGAAAAAAGTTTATTGACACAAACCATGTGCACACAGACACAGTAACAAAAAGGTTATTTAATATTAAAGAAAAAATAAAGAAAACTACATAACTGTGTGCCTCACGGCTGCGCCAAACAGGTCCAGTTCAGCATAAATGCCAGACCACTTGGGCCTGACGCTGGTTTTCAGCTGGACCTTTGTGCATGACGTGCTACGGATGCAAACCAGCTTTTCCATAAACATTAAAAATGTAGGTAGATACATAATCAATAAAAAAAGAAAATAGCTGCAATGGGGGTAGATATATAAATAAAATAAAAAAGGAAGCGTGTACTAAATTGTAGTGAAGGTAATGTGTGACTAGGGAATGTATGACTTAGTTTATATATCATTACACATGTGTATGTACAAAGTCCCAACAGTGGCAAAACTCCGCCAAGTCTGTGTGTGTTGCGTGTTGTTAAATCAGCCTTGGTACTTTTTGTTGCTTAAAGTTTAAAACAAATAAATAAATAAAAAACGCAGTGATAAGTCAAAAATAAAACAATTGAATATATGAATCTAAATCTAAATGCCGACGAATTGTTAATCCTTGCATCATATCAACAGCACGCTGCAGGCGGTCGGGTGAAATGTCATTTGATGTATTTGTGTGGAGTGGACTTAAACCTATATAATAGAGACATTAACATTGACCATATCAAGTTCCCGTTGCGCTTCTATCAAGTACCGCCGTAAGCGACTTCTAAATGTGCCGATCGTGGTGACTGATCTAATAGGTGGTGGCAGATTATTCCACACTTTAGAAGCCGCATACCGGAAGCTGCCTCTAAAAGCAGCAGTACTGTGAGAGTTTGTTGACAGTTGTTGCGAACATAGCCTTCTTTCGCACTCGCGCCTACCAGTGATCCAGCTAAGCTTGCCATAAAGATAGTCAGGTTTTTGGTATTTGATTACACCGAATAAAAGGCAGGCCAGGTGTAACTTGCGTCTTGACTTCATTTTAAGTGCAAAATGTTTATTGAGAAATGGTGTTACATGGCTTCTGGGCGGTATTTTATAACAAAAACGAGCACAGGCGTTTTGAACCCTTTGAATGAGCCGATCAGTACGAGCTAGTATCCGCGGGCCGTATACTGTGTCCGCGTAGTTGAGCCTGGACAAAACAAGGGATTCGACAAGCTGCTCGCGTAGTGCTTCGGATAGGAAAGGCCGCATGCTGTACAGAACTTTCAAGCGGTAAAAACCGCTACGCACTGAGCCAACAACGTGTTTCTCAAAACGAAGGTCACTGTCCATAATGAGACCAAGGTTTCGCGCTTCATACACTCTGTTTATTGGTTTACCCATTAGTGTCAAGTCAAGAGTCTCGGGAAGTCTACCTAGCTGCCGCCTAGTGCCACACACCATATATTTTGACTTGATTGGGTTAAGTGCTAGGCAGTTCTCTTCAGACCAGGCTGCGATTCTAATTAGGTCATCGTTGAGATCCCTAATAGCTCGTTCTTGTTCATCCGGTCTAAAGGATATATAGACTTGAACATCGTCGGCGTATATATGATACTTGCAATTTTGTAGGCACTTAATTATGTCTGCACAATACAAAATAAAGAGGATTGGGCCCAGTATAGAACCCTGCGGTACTCCTCTGTCAATGGAAGTAAGAGCCGATGTAAGGACAGTACCATCACCCAAACGTAATTCTACCTGTTGCCTCCTATTACTAAGGTAACTGTGGAACCATTGTGTAGCACCAGGGTCAAACCCGTAATAATTCAGCTTAGACAGCAATAACGGAATATTAATTGCGTCAAATGCCCTGGAAAAGTCAAGTAAGACCAGTACAGAACACATTCCTTTATCTTGGGCTGCTAATATATTATCTGTCACGTCTATTAAAGCCGTGGAGGTGCTGCGCTGTTTTCTGAAACCAGATTGTAAGTCGGGTAACACGTTGTTTTGTTCCAGAAAAAATGCAAGTTGCTGGCTCACGACCTTTTCCAATACTTTAGATAAACATGGCAGGATGCTTATTGGCCGTAGGTCTTTAATTTCCACAGGGTTTGAATTTTTTGGTAAAGGTCTAACGGAAGCAACCTTCCATTGGTCAGGGAACGTTGATGACATTATCGAACAGTTTATAATATCTGTAATGGTGGTTAAAGTATGTGGCAGTGTCATAGTCAGCATGTCCAAAGTAATATTATCGAAGCCCTCAGCGTTAGTTTTAATATTGGAGATGATACGAGAGACATCGCTCGGTTCCACGGGCGTGATTGTAAAAGTTGCATTACCATACTTATGACTGTCAAAGTAAGTCATTAGAGGAATGTTAGCTACGTTGCTACAAGGGACGTTCAAAAAGGTGTTATTAATTAAGTCTGGGTCGACAAAGTGCGACGGAAGGTCTTGTCTTGGTTTAGTTGACGATAAGGTATTTTTAAGATTTTTCCATAAAAGTTTTGGGTTTTTTATTTTATTGTTTATATTATGCCTGAAATACGCAACTTTTTCGCTGTATAAAGATCTTATCACCAGGGACTTTAATTCCTTATAGTATGCTTTCTTTGTATCGTTATTCGTTTTCCTATAATTATTTAGTGCATTGTCCCGCAGTCGCATCATGAGTTTAACAGTATCTGTAATCCAAGGGTACGATTTTTCTTTTATAGTACATGTTTTGATTGGTGCATGAACATCAAACAGGGAAATTATGTTAAAGTTAAAGGTATGTACCATGTCATTAACATCGTCGAGCGTAGAAATAGATGCTAGGTTTAGGAGCTGTAAGTCCATATTAAAGTCAACCGCACAAATATTTTTAAGTGGCCTAAATTTTACAACATATGGTTTAAACTTGTTCCGTTTTATATGAAATTCACTAACTATAATAGAATGACCATGAGTTGTACCAAGAGGTTTCACCGCTGTATATTTCGCATTTAGGTCAGTGCACAATATGTCAATGAGAGTCTCGCTCGATACTGTAAAGTGGGTAGGAGTTGTGATCAACTGTGTAAGATTAAGGCAATTTAAAAACTCATTTATTCTTTTTGTGTTGATCCCGGTAGTGTCCAACAAATTAACGTTAAAATCGCCGAGTAAAATGTAGTGGTCACAGTTTCCTAAAGTGCTAACAGTCTCCGTTATGTATAACTCTTCTGTACACGTGTATGTCATTGAACTCCTCCTAAACGGCTTGACCGATATAAATGTTTTTTTCTTGTAATGTATAAATATTTTGTATGGTTAGAGTGATGCCCCGGATGGTTTAGATTCACAAATTAGCCCGGCAGATGGCGCTGATTGTTTAAAAAAGCATATTGTCATCTCGGAAACGGCCCTAACAATTTTAATGAAATTTTATATGTGGGGGGTTTTCGGGGAGAACACATATACATAGAAAAGGTTTTTAAATTGACCAGAGGGCCATGACGTGTTAAAGGGTCAATCTTCTGAGCGAGAAAGAGGGATGGAGCTATACAGTATTTTCACACATATCAGTGACATAATTGAAAATGAAGGTCAAGGTTTAATTTGAGTGACATCATTTCTCTTAGGACTAAACTGGCATCTATGGTTCAGAATTAATATATTTCTCCTGATTTTTTCTAAAGATAATTGAATCTTGAATTTAACATGGTGATTGAGAAATACATGATTACTTTGGAAATTTAGGTGTAACGGTACAATAAATAGGTAAAGTAAAATAAACGGTTGAGGTTCTGGAGGTAAATAAACCTCGAAAGTTTAGGTAAACACGAGAACGTCGGTTTAAACATTGGATATGGATGAAATAAAGTAAAAGCGTGTCATCTATTAGTGCCACTACAGGATAAAAGAGAGAAAGAGTCCGGCTTATTGCTAGCAAAAAGAAACAGAATCGACGACCCCATGCACTTGGTTAATGCTTGGGGTGTCGATTTCAATTCTTTTTATTTGACAGGTAGTAATTAATAGATTTATCAATTCGTAAAAAAATTAAGGCGAATACTTACCAGCGCCAGAAACAGCAGCTGTATATAATGCTAGAAGAGTCAGGACCTGCATTGTGCGTGTGTTAATTGCTCGAAGACAAGTGGGGTGGAAAATGTCCACGACAGTATTTATACAACTAAAGATGCAGGCGACAGGAAGATCAAGATTAAATTCTGTTACATATTTCCGTTATATATCAACTGTGTAATCGTTGATCACTAGCAGACATTGATAATGAAATGTTCCCAAACAGCACTGCTGTAATACTGTTTGGCACTTTTTTCTTATGTAACATTACCAAACCTGATAGTCTTACTTATTTTCTTTATAATATTGAACTTCCATTACTAAGTACTATTATATGAAATGAATTATTAAAAATAATACTTTTCTCGGTCACAGTCGTGTTTTTTTGATTAATTATCTCACAGACTAGACTGGTACAATCTTCCACATCCTTGCAGTCCTCGCTGTTCTGTGAAAAAAATATATTATCGAGTTATCGACTGACTTTTTGTATCGTACACCCTAAATTAGAGTTAGGGAATATACTCCTTGCATTAGAGTTGTCATTTTGTATGTTCGCCTTCAGATTTGACATCTCCACTACTGATCACCAAAATGATATATTCAAGGGTTGAACTAAACATTTTGTATAACATCACACAATGAAATATAAGTATAGTATAATTTGATATTCAATACAAAATATTTTAATTGATTTTTCAATTTTAACATTTTAATCATCCATCGCTCTAATATTTTTTATTATATAAATTATGGCAATTGTATCCTTATCTTAAGAATAAAACTTAAATAATTCCGTTAAATTTATAACAGTTCTTCTCAATCGCAAACTTAAGGTTCGTATTATCTACATTCAGTTATTTTTAATAAATTATTAATATAATAATTAAAAATTAAATAATATATTAATTAAAATTAAACAAGGGGTCGTTTCACAACTAATGTATACACAATAATGATGAAGTATTAAGAGACGCTCACAAAATTTTAGAGAATTAGCCAATGCGTTCTTCACGTTTTTCATCCTTATCCCGGATGCCTTTCTGGTTTTTCTTACTCGATATGAATAAAATAATACTTTTTCATTCGATAATTATATCTAGCAAGATTTAGAAAGTTAGATTTAAGGTGATAACTTCAGCTGGATATTTTTTTTAAGATGTGTTTCCCAGGGATCGATTTAGGGGCCGATTTTAATTTTTTGTTTTTATGAATCGAATGTCCTTACATTGTATGCGATATCTGTAAGAGGTTGTTGTACCCGGTTTCCTTACTTTACTATAATCGTTATAATAATATAGAATTTATTGACCGTGTGATTTGCACGTGTGTATATTTCTTGTTTTTTTAACTTTAGCATGTGACTTTGTTTCTGTGTTGTTTTTTCAGTTTCTATAAGTATAATCATATTTTCTTAGTGCGGCGCCTAGTAACAAATGTCTGGGCGTTTTTAACGCAACCTTTAACTTAACACGCACCATCTTTAACGCAAACTTTAATATATAATATATATTTTTTACTATTACGATTCATATATAAAATGTTGTACACATTTATATATAGGAACAAGGGAAAATATTCACAGACAGGAAGAATAAGATTAAAATATGTTGGAGACGATATTATCAATATTATTTTACATAATGTCAATAACAAATCAATTACCGGTAGACACAGATAAAAAAAAAAACTTCAGTAACATAATAACGCTTGCACCTATCGCAATTACACCAACTTACACATCGAACTCGATGATAAATTATTTAATACTTTTGTTACAATATCATTAACTTCTTTACTTTTAATAAATCTGTAGAGAGGTTAATTCAGTATACGAAATATATTTTCAAAATAACTACCAGGGGGTGATAATTATTAGTGATCGATACTGGTGTCAAAAATGCAATCGATATTTTTTTTGACTCGACAGGTTTTTACGGAACTTGGTACAATTATTCTTCATATTTTTGACCAGGTTAAAGTATACTTTTTGTCACGCTACAATTAAAAGGATCTTGATGCAGTGATGGAAAATGTTTGGAATGTAGAAGTTACTCCATTTTTTAAACCTCCGCCTGTGCAAATTTCGTAACCAGCCGAACTGGTTACGAAATGTTCTACAATTTAAAATTATCTGGAAAATATTTCACTACAGAACTATAATAATATGTTTCTCTTTTTTATTTGACTCACAATAACACGTGAAACTTCTTATTGCTTAGCAGTTTGGAGCATTCCGATTATCTGAGTTTACTCTTAAGTTTATAAAACTAACACTCAACTCTGATTAAAAAAAGGTACATTATTACCTATTAAAGTATGATAGAAATCAGTATGGAAATAGCAACGCTATGCAGCAAGGTAATATTAATGTGAGTATGGGACGTTTCTGTGTGTAATGTGAGTGTTCTTCTTTTATAGGTGGTCCTTGCCATATTCACGAACTATGATTATTAGGGTATTTTTTAAAATCAACCAATCAAAACATTTTGATGCCAATTTTAATCAGTGGTAGGTATTTATTATATTAGTTTAAGTTCTCCACGGACACGTGGACTGTGCATTGTCATACAATTTTCATCAAATATTATTATTCTAGTAAATATTTATAAAATACTTTTTTTATTTACCACAAATATACACGGGTCCTATAAAAACTGCAAATGTGTTGATCAGTGGAAGGTTTAAACAAATAAGTAAAAATACGGTCTCTTTAAGTTTGGGAAAGTAATGCTTTTGCGCGAATGAATGGACTCGACTGGAGTTAAACCCCAATCTCACAGAGATTCGGCGTGAAGCAACACTTGCACTGTGTTTTACCATAATATTGTGAGTGTGGTTAGCGGAGGCCAAATCTTCCCTTCTCGATCCCCAAATCCATAATGCCTAAAAGACCGGAAACACACGTGCGACTCCTCTGTTATTGAGGTGTCTACTCGATTATCACCTTAGCCCATCATCACCATCATCATTATCATCAGCCTATAAGTACCCACTGCTGAGCGAATGTCTCTTCTCACACGGAGAAGATTTGAGTATTAGTCACCACGCATACTCAAGGGCGATTGATTTCATATTTATAATTAGAGATTATAAGTCTACGTTTCCTCACGCTGTTTTCTTTCATAGCATGTCAGTGGTTTCTAAGTAATCATAGAAAGGGCATAATACTTGAAAAAAGTCACATTGTTACTTGCCAGTTTCGAACTCACACTTAACACCCGGAACACCACAACTTTCTAGCTTATAACATTGTAAAAATCTAAAGAATCTAAGATAGTACCGGAGTGCCTTCAGAATACAGTTAAAGGGCATCGAGGTAAAGGTGTTGGCGAAGTCTAATGACACCGCCACGACCACCTGCCTCCTGGCCACTGCATTTCCCGACGTAATAAACCTCATGCGCATGATTGTGTCCACCGTGGAGCGCAATCGGCGAAAGCCGAACTGGCCGTTTATCAGAGTGAATTGTTTTTGTTTTTTTTTCTTTTCTATTCTAAAATGTTACATGTAACAAGTATACCCAACTGTGTGAAATACTGAAGACTTAAGTACCTTGATAATGTCTAATCATAATTTAAGAGAGCGCCTCTCGCCATCAAATGAATTCGTTTGGCGGGTTTAGTTATAAGATACCCAATGTTAAAGCTATATGAATAAAATTATAAAAAAGATCCAACCCCTTCCCTGTCAGGTACGCAGAGATGCTATTTATTATATTCTTTGTAAAAGTTTGCCCACCTCGTCGAGCAACACAATGTACGCGGACGCCCTGACTTCTTCACATAGATCAGTTTACCCATCGTCCATGACAATGGATAATGGTTGCTAACTAAACAAGCCTTGTCAATATGGTTCCCCATCCCATTCCCATGCATTAGCAGGTAGCCCATCGGATCCTGGGGCGGTGTTCTTAAAGCTCAGCCGGCATACCACCGCTGTTGATTCCGTCTAGTTCACCTCTGCAACGGAGTCAATGTCGTATACGCAATTAGCCTTAACTGATATGTTTACGTTTTTTTTATGTTTTATGTATACATGATATTTATTTATTTATTGGTATACCAACAACACGCATATTACAAACTATATACTAGTAATAAATATAACAACCAAAGACCAAATAAGCATGCCTATTACAGGTACATATAGCGTTCATACATAGACAACTTAATTATTTAAGAAAAGAAGAAAAGAGATAATCTAACAATAACATGATGAATAATATTGACAACATTAAAGAACCAATAATAGCCATCAAAAAATCTACACGTCCCCGTCGTGAGCGCGTGCCTCTGTCACCGACATTTTAAACTTATTCAGAGTTATGTTGTGAATGTCAATTTTAGGTAGTCTATTGCAAAGACTGTTATATTCTCTGCTCATCCTAGGTAAAGGTGCATTCAAGCCAATATTAGTTTTTAGTCGAGGTATGTGGAAAAGTCTGGTATTAGGTAACCTGGGCGGTTAAGACGAGACCGAATATTGTACCCGCTATGATATTGTTGATTGACGGTCAAATAGGTTATTGTTCTATTTATTTCATTCTTTATACCCACTAAAAGTTTTGATTTCTTCAGAACCTGTTAAGTGCAAATTCCCGCAGTGTTTAAGCAGAGAAAAGAATATTGTGATCAGTAGGTATCGTAATCATACTCATACTAATATTCAAGTTATACCATAAAATTGACCATTAAATGAAAACAAGTAATTTGAATTATATAAAAACCTTTATTTATAGGTACAAACTGGTAGAAATAAGAAATATATTATGCGTTAGCGGTAATCCAAGACGCGTAGTTGGATACGCGGGTGTGTACACTAGGGAAGTTAGCTTGAGCGATGCCGACGCTAAAAGCAAAGATTCCAACAACCACACCATTATGGTAAAGAGGATTACCAGAATCAGTATCGCAGTGGCCGCGACCATTAGTGTGCCAACCGGCACACAACATGTTTTCGGTAATAGCAATGTTTCGGGCGGCGTAGTTGTTTCTGCATGTCTGCTGGTTTATAACCAACTGCTGAACTTGACGAAGTACTTCTGAATCAACCCGTCGCTCGTGTGTATTGGACTGAAATAGGTAACATTATAACTTATATTCTTGTTTTGAATATTTGTAGTAGTTACTATAATTTATGTAGATTCACTATTATAACATACTAGCTTTTACCAGCGGCTTAGCTCGTACCGAATAAAAAAAAATTACCAATTATTAAATAGGTAACTCCGAAAATATCCCACTTCCTAATAATGCGAGAAGTATATGTATATTCATAATTAAAACCAAAATGAGAAATTGGGTGTGTTTCACCGTTTGTATAAAGTAACAGGCGCGGCGCCGCGGCGGTTCAACCGTTTTCTCCATCCATTCCCATCTCGAAACTGCATAAGGCCGGTAACGCACTTGCAGCTCCTCTGTTGTTGCGGGTGTCTGTAGACTGTGCTGATTACTTACCATCAGGTAATCAGGCTGCATGTTTTCCGCACACATAAAAAACTCGATGTGTCACATAAAAAAAAACTGGATCAAGCTTAATTATTCATGTAAGGCAGTTTTGTCAAGAAATGGCCATAATTGTAATAAAACTCAAGACGATAGTCTTATTTATTTTACTACCAGAGATCGTGGCTCCGAACATTGGTAAATCTGGCCCCATCCGACAGCCCAGACACCTTGGTTATCTGCAACGTGGTAGTTAGGACCTGCTATGGAACCAGGGCGCGCTTCATTGTTGAAAGTAAAGGTGGTGACAGAATGCAGAATAGCGATGTTATGGTCCAAGGTTCTGGAACTGTATAATGGATGAGCGATGTGGCGGTTGATCAAATGCTGTTGTCCCCATGTATTGGCAAAGCTGGTGCCTATACGGATGCGCCACTGACTAACGTTGTCACCACTGAAAAATACAGAATATTTAATAAATGAAATTAGGACCGAGTATATTCTAGCTCTCCTTTATAACCTACTTACTGTAAACAGTGGGCGGCAGTAAGAATGGCGCGATTGTTGATGATGACGCCACCACAAGCTTGCCAGAACATATTCGTAAACCAATCCCACGTCTGGAGGGAAGCAATAGAGGGATGGTTTTCAACCATAACTAATGAACCCCCAATCACCCTCTGAGAGGGCACGCCTGTTAGAAAAAATAAGAATTACTTATGTTTTAGAAGTAGACATTGCAATATAATAAAAAATTGCTATGTAGTGTCAGTGTAAGTAAGGAGAAGGGTATCCATTTATTTAAATAATAATGTAGCGAGCACTTACCCGTGACGGCTACGATACAAAGAGCTGCGAAAACTAAAACTTTCATTGTGGCTGCTAATTACTCGATTCCAACTGGTGAAGAACGTGTTAACGTGAATATTTTTATACTGCTAAATATGAAGGCGACAGGAAGAGTGAGATTAAACACTCTTATCCATTTCCACAATATGACAAATCAAAAATCAATTTATCAACGGGTAGACGCAAAATATATATTTTTTTTTTGTTATTTACGTAGAAGTAAAGTCCCGACTTTTAGCTAATAAAGAGGTTGCAGACTTACATAAATCCAATTTAATGTCTGTTTGTATGTCTCATCTAATAAAGTTTTAATCTAGTTTTTTCCAAAATGGGCAATAACACTTTCTGTTGGCTGATGAAGTCTTCGAGACAGTCAGCTTGAAAAAAAACAATCGGCGTGTTAGAAGTTATTTTTGTTTTCTAAAATTTTTTAGAAGAGAAAATCAAATTACTTCTTTTGTCGTGGGCCTTCTGTAGTTCCAGGCTGGATAAGATGCCTCATTTTTATTTTTTTGATACATTGGCTGTTTTTGATATGTCAATGGTAGCAAAGAAGGTTGGAAACCTCTAGGTAGTTTATTAGTACACACGGAGTTGAAGACCACAACCCTGAATATTACTAATTTAGGAAAACCTCGAGGCTCAACGAGATAAGTACTTCGTGGATAAACGCCAAAGTCAAAAAAAGTCGTAAAGTGGCGTATTCCATAGAAAATTGAAGCTTGCAGAGTTTCTTTTAATCATTAGTAGCAGTCTAGAGTTTAAACTTAAACACTGTGTTTCAATAGACTTAATCTATGTTAAATGATTTCTGGCAGTGGTTGGATGAGGAGAGCTGAAAATCCGGCTGAGTGACGTGCATTTGTGGAATCCCATGTCCAACAATGGATGAAATCAGGCTGATGATGATGATAATGATGATGAAAAACATAGTCGTTGAGGCAGAGTGTATTGAAGTCATACACTCTGCCTTTAGATTTGTACTAGCTGTTGCCCGCGACTTCGTCCGCGCGGACGCCGTGAAGCACCAAAAATACTATGCCTGCGTCATTTTAAGTGTAGTTTTTTAGTGAGCAACTTTTAAGATCACATTCCCTTGCAGTTGGCGCTGCAGTATAACTTCACCTCATGAGTACCTCTCATAGCGCAGGTGAATTTTGAATATGGTTTAATTCTTACATCCCACGAATAACAGAATTCAAAGAATCACAATTATAAAATTTCTCTATAAACTACATTTGTAGTTTTGCTCTCAGTAGCCAAAATGTATAGAGAGTCAGGACTGGTGACGCGGGAGCAAGCGACGTACAGTTGTCCGTGTGAGAAGCAGCTCGTCCTTAGGTCGACACCCGCAGCCTTCAGTGTCTGTCCCTGTGACTTATTGATAGTCATTGCGAAGCAAACACTCACAGGGAACTGCACGCGCTTAAACTGGAAGGGGTAGTTATGAGGTATGAGGGGAATGCGTGGTATAAACACTGCCTCGCCGACGCCACAACCCGTCAAAATTTCCGCCTCGATAATATTTCTATGCAGTGAGATGACTTTAAGGCGGGTCCCGTTACACAACTTCGGAGGAGACAGGTTCCGAAGAAGCATGATCGGGACGCCAACCTTCAGCTTGATGTTATGTGCTGGAAGTCCACTTGCTGTGAGGGAGTTGAGAAATTCCACCGGATAGTGTGTGGCGTCATCTTGCTCGACTACGGTGTTTATGGAGGTGTACACCACTTCATTCCCCTCAATTTCCGAGAGAATGCTTTCATTGATTGCTGCAGCTTGATCATTTTTAGGCGTCAAAATGGCCCGCTCGCATGCCCAAGAATTCGGCTGGTGCGACTGATATCCCCGTACACGCAGCGAATGAGTTCATCTAAGGTGGATACCACTCTACCGAGAGATTCTGGGTGCACCACCTGTCCGCCCCTCTCCTCTGGTAGAGTACCGTCGCCGAGACTTAGAAGGACATCAGAGAACTCTTGAGCGCGTGCATTGCCGCCGAGCTGAGCTCTCATATTGATGGTCAAGCGCAGCGTATGAACGCGTGACCATAACGCAGATCGTTTCAACGATGCATTCACCTCGTCAGCCCTAGATCCCCGCGTTACCACGGGAAGCGTTTGTCGGAAATCACCACTAAACAGAACTGTAACACCGCCCATCAAGTGTTCGTTCCTGCGGATGTCCTGCAGGGTTCTATCCACGGCCTCAACTGCCTTCCTATTCGCCATCGTGCACTCATCCCATACGACCAGAGAGCAATCCTTTAGCACGCGTCCCTTGTCACTGTTGCGTGACACACCACAAACAGGAGTTTCGGTGCTCTCTAAGTCGATGGGAATTTTGAACATGGCATGTACCGTTTTGCCCGCGTAACTTAGCATGGCGCTCTCGGTCAATTGACAGCCGCATCTCATGTGCTTCTGCACTTTCCTAAGACCGCAACAATGCATTTTGAGTGCGCATGGTATCTAATCGCGACTGGCGCGCCGTACTACATTCTCCTCTTCGAGTCTCTGCAATTTGTTCACGAACAGCAGTCAACCTGGCCTCACGCTCGTCAGCGGTTTCAAGGGATCGAGCTAACCTTCTTTTTCGCGAATGGTATGACGATTGTGATAGATTAGACCGCCTTCTGGGCATTTTTACTACTAAAAGACAAATTAACACGAAGTAAACAGAATCATTTGAGAATCTCGATAACTTATAAACAACGCAGGTAACCCCCGTTTCTATAGGTTGAAGCGGCGACATCGGTACTCATAACATCACTTTTTGTGAACGAAACCATAGCGCGATCTAATTCGACGCCAACACCATCTAGTTAGGAAAATGGAAACATTTTTATATGGTAAACAATAATAATTTCTCAATTACGACTGAATACGTTTTCAACGTGAAAAAAACGTAACCGCATATGAATAAAAAAAAATGCTGGTTCTTCATCACACCTATGTTTATAATTATACACAAAAATATTGTATGAATTCCGAAGCAACAATTTTACCAATATAAGTCTATGTTCTATTTTATATTTCATTTTTTTTGTGTCTAGGTTTGTGATAGCACGTCCTGTCAAACAACCTGCTTACAAACGTAATTTAAATGTGTATGAGGTAACACTACATGCTGCTTCAGTAAGGTTTACAGATATAAAGGTTCATTACTCATTCCCCGTAGGTGATATCGTGATAATATGTAGCCTATGTGATGAACCGACCTGTCAGTTATGTTCATGCAAAATTTCAATTTAATCCATGCAGTACTTTTTGAGTTTATCCGTAACAAACATACAGACAAACAGACAAACAGACAAACAGACAAAAATTCTAAAAACCATATTTTTGGCTTCAGTATCGATTGTACATCACGTCCCAAGTATTATTTCAAAAATATATTTAATGTACAGTTTTGACTTTCCTACGATTTTATTATATGTATAGATAACTAAATTATTTTTAGTTATCTGTGTCTAGCCATCGATAAATTCATTGTTGATTTGTCATCAATAATTATGGTATGAAAGTGGATAAGAGAATATAATCTTGCCCTTCCTGTCGCCTCGATTTCCGTAGTATAAATATCTCCGTAAGCATATTCTACGCCATTTGCAGCAAACACAATGAAAGTTTTGGTTTTCGTATCAGATCTTTGTATCGTACCCATCGAGGTAAGAGCTCGATACATCTTTATTTAAATAAATTAATTCTATTTCCCTGACTTACTCTGACACTACATAGCAATTTTTTCCACCAATTTCTACTTGTATAACATATAATAATAGTTAAATTTTATTTTTGTCTAACAGACTTCCCCTCTCACATATGCAATTGGTGGTTCCTTAGTTATGGTTGAAAACCATCCCTCTATTGCTCTGGCAAGCTTGTGGTGGCGTCATCATCAACAATCGTGCCATTCTTACTGCCGCCCACTATTTACATGTAGGTTATACAAATGATCTAAAGTATAATGGTATAATGGTTTCATGTATTAAATATTGTATTTTTTCAGTGGTGACAACGTGAAATCGTGGCGCATCCGTATAGACTCGAGCTTTACTAATACATGGGGACAAGTGCATTTAATCAACCGTTACATTGCTTATACAGTTCCAGAATCTTGGACCATATCATCGGTATCCTGCACTCTGTCACCGCCTTTATTTCCAACAATGAAACGTACTCTGGCTCCATAGCAGGTGCTATCCTCAATTGTGACAACCAAAGTGGCTGGTGCGCTGACAGACAAGGCGATGATACAATACCCCGACGTGGTGATTTTAAATGTGGGGGAGTGGTGACTTTAGGTCGAAAAATCGCACGTAATAAACAACCTGACAAGAATAGTAATGATTTATAAACATTTAATGTAAAATTTTGATACGACATACATTATTTAACGTTTGTTCATTCTGCTGCAAACGCGTGACAGGTTGACTCAGATGTGGAGCACTTCTGAGTTCAGCAGTTGATTATAAAACCAGGAAACGCTATACTACGCTGCTCGTAACATTGCTATCACCGATAACATGTTGTGTGCCGGCTGACATTCTAATAGTCGCGGCCACTGCAATACTGATTCTGGTTCTCTCTACCATAATGGTGTGGTTGTTAGCAACTTTGCTTTCAGTATCGGCATTTCTAAATCAACTTCCCCAGTGTTCACATTCGCGTGCCCAAGAGGTGTAGCCTCTTGATTCTTCTCACGTATCATATTCACTTTTTTACTTAACTGAAATCGTATTGCGATAAAATAAACGTTGAATGTAAATTGTTTTTTATTTCCATAATAGATTTCTTTATTAAATGAACGTATGACGTCACAAAATCTTAATTTGGATTACAAGGATAAAAACGGCATTCATCATCTCGCCTAGTTGTAAGATCCTCTCTGTTCTTATCTTAGGGAACCAAATTTTCTTTACTCTAAAGATTAAATTTATAAAACACGTACCATAAAAAAAAAACTTTAAAATTACCATGGTTATACACCAAAGTAGGCTACTTTAACGGGTTTGGTAGAAAAATTAAATGGATAAAAAGCTATTCACAGTTGCGACCCCTAATGAAATATATAGATGACAATATTCATATTCACCAACTCTTCACTTATTATAATATATATTATCAATGTGAACGTATCAAAGGCTAACTGCGAACAGTTGCATTTATAATATAAAACACTCATCTCACATAATCTCCCTATCCTTGCTGAGTTTTTCTCTTCTCACACGCAGAAGGTTTGAACATTACTCCCCACGCTTGTTTACGTTGGTCAGCAAAAATCTGACACCCCTTTTACCCCTCCTAAGGTGGCTAAAGTCTGAAGTCTGAAATGAAAAACGTCTCCCTCGAATAAAAAAACAAATGCAAACAACTAAACAAAAAATTAAAATATTTAAAATTGTTTCGATATGTTACATCATCTTTGTATAAAAACTTCTCGAAATTTATTAATAACTTTAACTGCATTTAGTACGATACACTTTTTGTGAAGGTAGAACATTTCGACATTGGGTGCGTATCTCTAGATATATTGAAGTCATACCCTCAGGAAAATATTCTTTAAAATACAAGTCAACAAAGTTAATTCAAGGAGTGCTAGCATAACTATAGGCGTGCCGCAGGGCTTAATATTAGCTCCATTTCTATTTTAAGCATACGTCAATTATCTGCAACCTTTATTCTAAAAAGGACCTGTATATGATATTATTAGCTAGAGACGAAAAAATAATTATAATGAGGTTAATAATACTTATATTAAGATACGAAATTTGTTTTTTGGACGTTTAAAAGTGCCTGTGAGGGTCTAGTTGAAATAAATGATTTTGACTTTGAATTTGGTTGTCATTGAACAAGTCAGTACTAAAGGATTAAAACACAAAATGTATTTATTTTGTCAAAAGTTAAAAGTAACAAATGTTATGAAATATTATTAAATAGTCAGAAATTGGAATTTGTAAGGAAGATTACTTTGCTAGGAAATACTGTAGACGACAAACCGTAATGGACGCCTCACGTCACTTCTGAACCAGAACAATTGAGCTCTGCAGCTTATGTTGTATACCTGTATACCTGTATACCTGTATACCTATGTATACAGCTAACCGACGTAGGCCAGACTACTTCAGCTACTCTTATAGCATCATGTCGTATGGGACTCTGTTATAGGGACTGTCATCCGACCTTGAATCTATTTATGTCGTAAAAAAGCGTGCCGTCAAAGCTATCTACTACGTGGTCGTCGCAAATCTCTCAGAGAAAAGATCGATAATATGACCGTATCCTGTGAATTTATTTATGAAAACATTATGTATGTTAGGAACAACCTACTTTTACTTTTTTTTTTATCTGGCAAACATGACTATGAAACTAGACAAAGGGATAGATTTTAGCCTTTATATATAGGTATAGATTGACAAAAGTTGTGGTAAATGTAAAAATAAAATCCCAGTTGAAATAAAAAAAATCAGTAAAAGCAAATTTAAATTATGTTTAAAGAAAACTGTAAAAAGACAAGAATACTATAAACAAAATGATTATAAAGAGGATAAACATGTTTAGAAGCTAGCTGGTCCTACTCCACAGGATAATAGCATAAGATGACTACTCCTCCAGAATCAAAAAGGTATAAGCACATATTGTGTTTTTTAGCAGAAAAGGTATAAATAATACAATCAGGAGTTAACATCCTAACGAATGTAACAGTACAAATGCCTTATTTTATTTCCGGGTATTGTTCTGGTCAGGCGGCGGGCTAATGAATCCAACAAAGAATAAAAACGATCCGACAAATGAGGGCGGGATAGCGGTGATGCAACCCGCATACTACAAAATCGTCACATACGTCTACTTCTGTAAAGAATTTAAAAATATTGACATAATTTTTAGGTTAAACGGTTTTTCATATAATATACCTATAAGACTAATTTAAAAAAATAAGAATGAGAAAAAGCTGCGATAACGTACTCACTGCCACGTTTACTAGAATATATATCCCACTTATTGCACATGTTGTATCCGCACAGTTGAACGTCTAACTGAAATTAAATTAAGGATTATGTATTTGTGCTATCTCCGGAAACTAATTTTTGTAATAAAAATTAATATCATCAACAGATAGGACAATAAAATCATCAATAGATAAAATGAGGTTGGTTTTTACTCATTTATCTGTAAGATCTAAAGAAGTATTTTTTTTCGGATTTTTGTTACATTTTTCTCGTAAAAATTAAAAGGAAGATGATATGACACAATGATTTTTTGAAAAACATTATTTAAAAAACATAGATTTATTGTTAGCGTTTATTAGATTTTTCTTTTTGACAAAAATAAGCAGGCACCTGATGGTTCAGCCGGGGTTGCGGAGTAAGCGCAATGAGGCACCGCGACTGCACAGAGCAGGAGAAGGAACGGAGGTTGGTTTTTAGTCAGGAAGAGTCCGACACTCCCTCCCGACCCGACTTCTCCCGAGCCTGACAGGGATAAGTCATTTGATGATTTTCCCCTCACAAAAAACCACCTGATGGTTAGCGTTGCTGTCAGCGTTACCCTCAGACCTCAATTATACCAGAAGTAATAAGTGCGTTGCCAATATTTCAGTTGTTAGAGGATTGGGGAAATGGAAATTGGAGAAGAAGAGGCTAGCTTCTTACTGAAGCTTAGCTTACTCGCATGATAGATGTCACAGAAAAGGCTTTGTTTCACGACAGTTTCTGTGACTTCGTGGAGTAATGATACGCCACTCCTCAAACCAATCTCGACAAACTCACCGACTTGAAATTCAATGTCTTTTAAAATTGTAGTCTCTTAGTCATGATTCCAGGTTAGTTCAGTAGCCTATGGTAACTAATAAATACTTATTACAATTCTAGTATAATTGATAAAGCTGTTTTATTTAGCAACAGATCGCAAACAGTTGATCTTCATTTAACCTGGATGTGTTGATGATAAAAGGTCCTCAACGGGTAATAGACCGAATAAAAACATTCGAAATTAAGCATTAAGTATATGGTTCAGAATTTTTTGAAGCTGTTACGCTCAGCGGTCAATAGACGAATCTCATTTACAACAACCCTTAAAATACTTCAAAAACTTAAAACAAAAACTATGTAAGTATGTATAGGATTGGTGAAAAAAAAGCCTACAATTTAAGTCACAGTGGCTAGTCTGTCTGTCATATTGTACTAGCCAACTAAGCAGGAGAAAATACAGTGCATAAAAATGTGCGCAAACAAAGATGCATCATCTATTCTATCACTTTCTTTCCGATAGGATAGTTGACACAACAAGAGATAGACAAGGCACAGGGCAATAATAATAACTTGTAGAGATCGACCTGAATAAATCTATACTAATATTACAAAGAGGTAAAATTTGGAAGTTTGTATGTTTGTAAGTTTGTATTTAGGGGGTAATCATTGGAACCGCTGGTCGGATTGCCAAAATTGTTTCATTGTTATATAGCTGCAATGTTCCTGAGTGCTATAGGCTATAAAACATCACGCTACGGAGCTGAGCAGCGGATGAAACCGCGCGAGAACAGCTACAATTGATCGAAGACCTTCTAAATAATCCTTTCAGTTTTCTAAAAAGTAACCTTAACCTTAAAGATACACTTTTTTATTAAAGAAAATGCAAAAAGTAGCTAATTTCTAACAATTCACATACAAGTCACAAAGAGATCGCTGTTTTATATATATGCAATAGAAAGAAAAAATGAATTTTCACTGCAATAATAAAGGTGTCTGTGCATTATCTGTTTAGCCTTTGATCAATGTCCAAAGGTACCTGATATGTTGCGGAAATAGATAAGATCATTTAAGTTTGCTCTTCCCGTTGTCTCCTTCTGAAGTAGTATAAATAGCTTTATTGACATTTTCCTTTCCACTTGTCTTCGAGTAATAACAAACGCACAATGCACGTCTTGACATTTTTATCACTCAGTACTGCTGTTGTTCTGGGTAAGTATTCGCTCTTAATATACGACAGGGTTGTTTTCATTTTTGCGTACTGTTTTATGAACATTTATAGAGTTTTTTAATATATCTATTAAAATATCTCCTCACTGTTATTATTTCTTTTTCTATAGTTAATAATGTCTATCATAAAGTCGTATAAGGTTTCAGGGTCGACATTTGAGCCTTCGTCTAACGAACAACAACTGTGTAGTTCAGTTATTTTGAATTTGGATTTGAAATTTCGAACAGTATTTATTGTTTTTTTTTTATGTTTTCAGGACTTCCGTCTGATTTGCAAAGAGTAACAGGACCTAACACTGAGATTGAAAAATATCCCTCGACTGCTAACCTCCAAAGGTGGCATCCAATTCAACATGGTTTCTTACAGGATTGTGGTGGCACCATTCTCAATAACCGAGCTGTTCTCACTGCTGCTCACTGTGTAGCGTAAGTAGGTTTTAAAAAGACTATTTTAAAATTACTCAGATTTTAACAGGATAAAATTAATTTTCTATTATTTTTCAGTGGCGACAGCATTAGCCAGTGGCGCATTTTTATTGGCTCTTCGTATTCATTTCCTGCTCTAAGCGACCGTCAAGTCCACTCAGTCAACCGCATCATCATTCATCCTTTGTACAGCTCTAGAACCTTAGGCCATAACATTGCTATCCTACACTCTCCTACAACTTTTACCTTCAGTAACAGAGCAAGGCCTGCTTCTATAGCAGGTCCCAACTATAACATTGCAGAGAATGAAACTGTATGGGCCGTTGGCTGGGGCCATCCTTTCAATTGTTTGGAGCCACTATCTCTGGTATTATATGCATTTAAAATACAATTACTAACATACATTTTATAACTTAGAAAGTACATTTGCTTTTTAACTGTAATTATTATTGTCTAGAAACGTTTATGCACAGTTGTACTTGCTTGGATGCTCATATACACAAAAAACCAAGAACATTATTTGAAAAAACTTTTTTCAGACGCACGAGAGGCGAGTCATACCCTACTTTTTGCGTGAAATTCAACAAGTTATTATAAACCAGAACATATGCAGAAACAACTATGCGGCTCGAAATATCGCCATCACCGATAACATGTTGTGTGCTGGCTGGCATACTGATGGACATGGACACTGCAATAGAGACTCTGGTAGTCCTCTCTACCATAATGGTGTGGTTGTTGGTGTCTTCTCGTTCAGCATCGGTATAGCTCAAGCCAACTTCCCCAGTGTCCACACTCGCGTATCCCATTACGCCTCTTGGATTCAAACAAATGCATAAAAAGAAATAGACTGAAACGGAACATTAAGATTTAAGTTGACGGAAATGGTTTCGAATTAAAACTATCATGTGAATCGAAAGTTTTTTATTGAATTTGTTTAGCGCACTTTAGTGGACTGTGGAGCATAATTATGTCATAATAATTATATTTACGAAGTGTGTTTAAATATGCAGTACGTATTAAACACTACGGTATATAAACATTTTCGAAAGAAGGTTTACAGAGACGGAACGAGGCAACATATTTTTTTAAATTTGCACTTGAAATTGTGTTGCTTTTTAAGGATCTTAAAACATAATATCTTAAAGGATATTAAAGAATGTTTTGTTTTGGTCCCGGGTACATCTTAAAACTGTGACCAGCAGCATTCCATAATTATACCCCCCTTCATGATCGCTGTAAGTTGGATCTACATCAATTACACTATCCAACTTGGACATACCTAGCAGAATGTCGGTCCTTATGTCAGCTTGCAGATGGCATGCTCACTGAAAGGTCATAATGGCGATGGCACGGGCGCTAGATCGCTCAATTCTCTTTTATATGGTTGAGTTGGGCAATGCTGGTGTACGTGTCATGTAAGCGAACGGGCGCCGTCAGTTGGAACTGGTCAGCTTTGGACTGTCCTTAAGGTTCTTTTTATATTTCTCTGAATAAATATTAGTGTTACACTGTTCTCACATTATTTGAACCAACTTTTTATATAAGGATATGTATAATCTTTTTTGACCTAGCAGAAGGTTGCCCAAAGAATCCAATTTGAATGGGCGGCGTTTGGGAAGTTACACAAAGTCTTGTAAGTGAAAATCCTACAACGCCTGAAGTTCAGGATGTTTAAGCAATGTGTGTTGCCAACTTGCCAGTGATAACGTATGGAACTACAACATGCGCCCTAACTTTTGGCTTCATAGAGAAACTCAAATTCGATCAGTGCGCGATAGGCCGAGCTATAGGTCGGGTTTCTCAATTATTAGGCATTGAAGGATAGGGAATTTGAGGATTAAGAATGGAGGGAGCAAGTATCGGGCCTCCGGTAACCTCACTCACACAGCGAAACCTGTGTGTTGAAGTGAAGTGTTGCTTTCACGCCGGTTTTCTATTAGGCCCTGATATTACTCCGGTTGAGCCGATCTATTCGTGCCGAAGCATGGCTCCCCCATACTATTCTGTGTCCTATGTCCTTTTTCGGGGTTTATATATGTATCTAAAACATGAATATGGATAACAAGCTATGGCCAATAGAACAAACTGATCATTTATAATATATATTCTGAATATTTACCAAGGGTCGTAAAATCGTGGGATTTTTTCTTGACCTAGCAAAGGCGTTTGACACAGTTTCGGTTCTCATATTGATTTGGAAGTTGGAATGCCTTGCAATTAGGGAAGACTGACTGAAAATGTTTCAGGACTATATTCAGATAGTTCTCTAACCTTCTTTTCATTTTTTTATTATTTATGTGTCCAGAAAACAGTAACTTTTCCTTCTTTAATTACAAGAAACCAGATTAATGTACAAAGTATTTGATAAAAGTGTATGGTCAATTCAACAAAAAATGGTTTAAAGGGTTGTATATTTACACGGTTGATGAAATAAACATTTTTATTTATTTATTTATTTATATATAACAAACAATGTATCTTATAACTTTGACATATTTATGGTAAATAAGTGCTTAAGTAAAATGAGACATTTTTTACCAATTTAGCAATTACGGCCAGAAAAATAAGAAAATAAAACAACAAATTATTCATACTATATGCAACTTAGTCTACTTTTAATGAAATTTTAATAAAAATGAAAATACTATGTTCTACGCAAATTTCTTTCTTTTATGCATTAGCTTGCATCCAAGAGGTGTAGCGGGATACACGAGTGTGAACACTGGGGAAATTGGCTTGAGCTATACCGACGCTGAACGTGAAGACACCAACAACCACACCATTATGGTAGAGAGGACCACCAGAATCGTCATCACAATGTCCGTTTCCATTAGTATGCCAGCCGCTACACAACATGTTATCAGTGATGGCGATGTTACGACCCGCATAGTTGTTTTTGCATATATTCTGGTTAATAATAACTTGCTGGACTTCTCTCAAAACTTCAGGTATGTTTCTCCTCTCATGCACATCATTCTGAAATAAATATTTTCAAATTATGTTCTCCATTCGTTTGTTTATATCGGGCTTAGACAACATTATAGCTGTGTGTTTTATTCTTCAATTAGAAAAGAAATATCCAATATACTATCTGTGTATGTGGAAATGAAGTAATAAAAAAGTAAATTTAAAGATAGGCCATCTTTAAATTTATGAACTTATTTTTATTAATAATATCGAAGTAATAATACCAATGATCGTGGCTCCGAACAACCGAAATTTTGGCCCCATCCAACAGCCCAGACTGTTTGGTTGTCTGCAACGTTATAGTTTGGACCTGCTAAAGAAGCAGGCCTGGCTTTGTTACTGAAGGTAAAAGGCGTGACTGAGTGCAAGATAGCAATGTTGTGGTCCAAGGTTCTGGAGCTGTATAATGGATGAATGATGAATCTGTTGACCAGATGGACTTGTCGTTCGCCTAGAGCAGGAAACGAAAATGACGTGCCAACAAAAATACGCCACTGGTTAATATTTTCACCTCTAAAACATAATAGAGATTAAATTTTTTCATGTTACGATATAAACTTTTATCATAGTCATTTTATAACCTACTTAAGCTGCACAGTGAGCAGCAGTGAGAATAGCTCGATTGTTGAGAATGATACCACCACAAGCCTGCCAGAACCCTTGTAGAACCGGATTCCATCTCATGAGGTTAGCGATGGAGGGATATTTTTCAACATCGGTATATGGTCCAGTTACCCTCTGTGAATTAGAGGGAAGACCTGTAAACATAGAAAAAGTACTAATTTGACTTTATCAGCGTAGTTGACTACAATTAATGTATAGAACTTGTAAACTGAAATTTATATTTTTTCAAATGTCTACGCGTGGTGTTTGCGTTTTTGTAAAGCTATTCAAGGCAAGAAATCCAGTGTGAAGACGCATTAAATGAATTCTCCTCTATATATTTAGCCACAAAATGAAATGTATTTAAAAATAAACAGCAAAAAACACATACCCAAAACTGCAGCGACACAGAGTGTTAGAATAGTAAGGACGTGCATTGTACATTTAATAATTACTCGGAGTCAATTAAATTGAAAATGGCCATAAAGCTATTTATACACAAAAATAAGGAGATGACAGGAAGATCAAAATTAAATGATTTTATCTATTTCCGCACCATATCAGGTGCCGTTGGGCATCGATAAAAGACTTATTAATTAGATAATACACAAACATGTTTATCGTAACCATGAGGATGCAATTCTTCTTTAAATACATACAGCGCCCTTCCTGCCACTGTATTTCCATTAATTTGGATGAATCAGGTGATGAATTTTATTTAACATGCGTTCGCGCTGTTTCGCCACTCGCTGCTTGTCTCGTACAGATCGTAACGTGATGTTATATAGCCTATACATACCCTTCCTCGATTAATAGACTAATGAATACAAACATAATTGTGAAAGACGAACATAGAAAAAGCAATAACCGTCAAGGGTGACTATTAATATTGTTTAACTTTCAAATGGTTTACCAATAGGTGAAATAGATAAGTCTATGTACGTCACAAAAAAAAATTAAAAATTATTTGCAAACGCTTAGCTACTGGCTTTCAACCCTATTTTTTTATGGATACGTACATCGGCACACTAGCAGTTGGATAACCTGATTTTAAGCAATCAGCGCCGTCCAACAACAACCACAAAAAAGGAGGTACGAGTGCGTTGCCGACGCTTTAGAGATTAAGGATTGGGAGGTTTAAGGATTGGGAGAAGTGAAGGAGAAGAGAAGGCCTCCGGTAACTTCACTCACACGCAGAAACACAACGCGTTGTAGTTGTTTCACGCCGGTTTTCTGTGAGACCGTGGTATCACTCCAGTCGAGCCGCCCCATTTGTGCCGAAGCATCTCCCACACTTAAAACACACACACACCTGAGTTTTCATTTCTAAATAAAAGTAAAAAATTAACGTAAACGTATATAACAAAAACACATTATAGCAATGCAACTTAACCTATATTTAACGCAATGACAAACTTAAAACATTGTGTTCCCTTTAAATCTATGTTTTTATGCGTTGGCTTGAATCCAAGAGGTGTAGCGAGATACACGAGTGTGGACACTGGGGAAGTTGGCTTGAGCTATACCGATGCTGAACGTGAAGACACCGACAACCACACCATTATGGTAGAGAGGACCACCAGAGTCTTCATCACAATGTCCGTTTCCATTAGTATGCCAGCCGCTACACAACATGTTATCAGTGATGGCGATGTTACGAGCCGCATAGTTGTTTCTGCATACATTCTGGTTAATAATAACTTGCTCGACTTCATTCAAAAAGTCAGGTATAGGTCGCCGCTCATGCACATTAGTCTGAAAGAAAATATTTTCAAATTATATTTTCAATTTCTTTGTGTGTGGGGGGTAAATCACAACGTCGCTATTCATAAATAAATCAATTTTGTATAAATGTATTTCAATTTTGTAATACCAGAGATCGTGGTTCCTCACAGCGAAAACCGAAACTTCCGCCCCATCCGATAGCCCAGACGCTTTGGTTGTCTGCAACGTTATAGTTAGGACCTGCTAAAGAAGCAGGACTGGCTCTGTTACTGAAGGTAAATGTTGCAGCAGAGTGCAGGATAGCAATGTTATGGTCTAAGGTTCTGGAGGTGTACAAAGGATGAATGATGAATCGGTTAACCGGGTGAATTTGTCGGTCGTTTAGAGCTGGGTGAGAAAATGGAGAGCCAATAAAAATGCGCCACTGGTTAATGCTGTCACCACTGAAAAATAATAAAGAAATTATTTTGTGAAATACTGTTTATAATATTTTTATACTATATACACTGTTTAATAATATTTTTCGACTAAACTTTTAACAGAGCTTATTACAAACTACTTACGCTATACAGTGAGCAGCAGTAAGAACAGATCTGTTGTTGAGAATGATGCCCCCACAATTCTGCACGAATCCATTTAGGTACGTATGCCACCTCATGAGGTTAGCCATGGAGGGAAATTTTTCAATACTAGTCACCGGTCCAGTTACCCTCTGTGAGTCAGAAGGTAGTCCTAAAACATAAAAAGGAATAACTCGAATTCATATTTTATTGACAAACTTGGCTAAAAACGTTTTTCTAAATGTAAGTATTAAAGTAAACTTGCAAAGTCTTCAACTACGAAGTATCTAAAAATAGTGTTTGGGTATTTTTGAAGACATTTATGGCAAACTTTCTAGTGTGACGACCCATTAAATATCTCTTTATACCTCAAAGTATTACCATCAGCAGATGAACGTGAATCACTTACCCAGAACCAAAGGGACACAGAGTGTTAGAACAGTAAGGATGCGCATTGTGTGTTTAGTAATTATTCGGAGACAAATGGAATTCAAAATGGTCATAAAGCTATTTATACTAAATATGAAGGAGACAACGGGAAGAGCAAAATTAAATGATCTTATCTATTTCCGCAACATATCAGTTACCTTTGGACATTGACCAAAGGCTAGCTAGATAATGTACAGACACCTTTGTAATAAAAATAAGGATTATTTTTTTTTGTTTAAATCAATGCATTTTACATTTTCGACAACTTCTCCCGTTTTCGCAACATTTCCCTTCACTGCTCTGCTCCTATTATTTGTAGCGTGAGGAAAGGTATCCTATAACCTGTCTAGGAGTATAAAAAATAATTGTATCAAGTTGTTTTTCAAAAGTTTTTGTTTCTATAAGGAACATACAGACAGACGGACAAAAATTTTACTGATTGCATTTTTGGCATCAGTATCAATCACTTATCACTAGTTTTCTGTTGTCATCTGACAGTTATTTTGAAAATATATTTAATGTACAGAATTGACCTCTCTATAGATTTATTATAAGTATAGATATTTAGACTCATTTTATCTATTATTTATGTCATGTTATCTACCATGTATCAAATGATGTGTTAATACGGAAAAGAGTTTCCGGAGATAGCGTTTGAACCCAGAACAATATTTCCTTTAGAACTCATTTTGATTCTCAACGGTGAATGCAACAGACGTGTAGTCTTAAATTTTATTTTTTCGTTAGTGCCATAAAGTTTCCGGATCAGATATGTCTAAATACTTGTTGCAAGGATACAGGATAACTGGTGCTGAGGATGGCCACTGAAGTGGTTCGTGTATAGTAAAAGTTTCTCACTCCCTAGTTTTTCACCCCAAAAAGTCCCTTTTTTTGTGTCGGGTTGGAAAATTCTCATGAAGACCCACCGCCCTCGGGGAAGGGCGAATGGTACTGTCAGACTCTTACTGACTAAAAACCAACCCGGTGTTTCTCCAATTTCCCATGTGACGAAGAGGCGGGTATCGCCGAAGCATTCGTCGCAATCCCCCCGACGAGTATTGGCCCGGCAGATCGTTAGGACCCCAAAAAGTCCCTCAGATTATCAGATCCCTTTATTCAGATTTTTAAGTTTTTACCGACTATTTTATTTATTATTTGGTGTTTGCTTTTAATAAATACTTTTTAGCGGAATATAAATCAAAGACTTTTCATTAATTGATTGAGGAGAAGAAAACAGTTAACACGATAGGCTTTACTTAAAGAAAATTCATAACATATTTTATGTATTATTTTGGTGTGTGCATTTATTATATACTTTTTAGCGGAATATAAACCATATATTTTTCCTTAATTGATTGAAACTAATTTGAAAAATGTTTTGGTAGAAGAAAACAGTTTTCATGACTTATTGCAACAAAACTCTGTTTATTATTCTCGAGTTTGTTCTAAAAATATGCATTATTTTAGGTATATACTTTAGTCAGGGATTTCTTGTATTTATAATAAAAGAGAGATAGGTATATTTCAATTGGCTGATTTATTGTTAGAATTCCGTCACCTCTTTGAAAAAAGACACATATTATTTAGGCATTTGATGATATCCAGGAGGTGTAACTGGAAATGCGAGTATTAATTCCTGGGTAGTTAGCTACACCGCATCCCAGGCTGAAAGAGTAGACACCAACAACGGCACCATTGTGGTAGAGGGGGCCACCAGCGTCGCCCTGACACTGGCCACGACCTCCAAAGTTCCAGCCAGCACACACTACGTTGTCAGTAATAGTGACACCCCAGTTAGCGTAATTGTTTCTACAAGTGTTCTGGTTGATAGTCTCAAGCTGGGCGTGACGGAGCTGCTCAGATCCGTAGCTTGAACCTTGCTAAATAAACAGATAAAAATAAACTTAATAAACTTTCCATAACAAGCCATGTTGACTGTAGGGAAGAATACATCTAACAATCGACTTGTTCAGTTATTATGACACGCATGGTGGAACTTGCAGCAACTGCTTAATGGCCGAATCTTACTTTTCATTTATATACTGACTCCATGTGATTAAATATATTCCCGTGAATAGGAAATGACTTCGTCATTTTCTAATCAACTATTAGAAATACCAATAAATCCCATATTACATAGATTACTTTATCACGAATAAAGCTCTTTGACTTCTTATTTACTAGAAATGCATAACGAGATAAAAGAATCTAATCGATAACTAAACTATTTGGTTTAGCTAATAATAAAAAAAAAATTGTCATCTGCCTTTTTATGGTATATGTAGATCGGCAAAAGAGCAGACGGATTACATGATGGTAAGCAATCAGCGCCGCTAATAGACACAGAAAACGGAGAAGTTACGAGTGCATTGCCGACCTTTTAGGGATTAGGGTTTTGGAGATTTAGGGTATTTTTATTTAATAACGACTGCGTGCAATATTTGCCAACAAGACACGTATGTACTATATTTGTTTTTATATAAACTTCAAATATTGTTTAATTTATTAATTTTCCCCGTAAGTGCTCAATGCAACGTTTCATGTTCACGTCATAGAAACTTTTATTGAAAGCCATAAATTTGCAAATACCATAATCATAAAAAACAAATCATTTCATTGCAACTTAATCTATATTAAACACAATTATTGCCGTAAAGATAAAACATTCTGTTCCCTTTTACATCTATTTCTTTTTATGCGTTGGCTTGAATCCAAGAGGTGTAGCGAGATACACGAGTGTGGACACTGGGGAAGTTGGCTTGAGCTATACCGATGCTGAACGTGAAGACACCGACAACCACACCATTATGGTAGAGAGGACCACCAGAGTCTTCATCACAATGTCCGTTTCCATTAGTATGCCAGCCGCTACACAACATGTTATCAGTGATGGCGATGTTACGAGCCGCATAGTTGTTTCTGCATATGTTCTGGTTAATAATAACTTGCTCGATTTCATTCAAAAAGTCAGGTATAGGTCGTCTCTCATGCATATTAGTCTGAAAGAAAATATTTTCAAATTATGTTTTTGTCAAACCACAACGTCGCGTTTTTGAAACTCCAAATGGAAGAAAAATATAAGTGTACGGTCAAAATACCAATTGTTTATAAGTTAATTGGTTATAAGACATTTCTGTAAATGTTAGCCTATTCATAAATAAATAAATTTTGAAAAAATGTATTTTAATTTTGTAATACCAGAGATCGTGGCTCCGCACATGGAAAACCGTAATTTCCGCCCCATCCAACAGCCCAGACGCTTTGGTTGTCTGCAACGTTATAGTTAGGACCTGCTATAGAAGCAGGAGTGGCTCTGTTACTGAAGGTAAAGGTTGCAGCAGAGTGCAGGATAGCAATGTTATGGTCTAAGGTTCTGGAGGTGTACAAAGGATGAATGATGAATCGGTTAACCGGGTGAGTTTGTCGGTCGTTATGAGCTGGGTGAGAAAATGAAGAGCCAATAAAAATACGCCACTGGTTAATGCTGTCACCACTGAAAAATTATAAAGAAATTATTTTGTCAAATACTATTTATATTTTTTTTTGTACTATATACACTGTTTAATAATATTTTTGGAATAAACAGAGCTTATTACAAACTACTTACGCTATACAGTGAGCAGCAGTAAGAACCGATCTGTTGTTGAGAATGATGCCACCACAAGTCTGCACGAATCCATTTAGGTACGTATGCCACCTCATGAGGTTAGCCATGGAGGGAAATTTTTCAATACTCGTCGATGGTCCAGTTACCCTCTGTGAGTCAGAAGGTAGTCCTAAAAACATAAAAAAGGAATAACTCGAATTCATATTTTATTGACAAACTTGACTAAAACGTTTTTCTAAATGTAAATATTAAAGTAAACTTGCAAAGTCTTTCACCTACAAAGTATCAAAGAATAGTGTTTGGGTATTTTTGAAGACATTTACGGCAAACTTTCCGGTGTGACGACCCATCAAATATAAATAAAGTCTCTTTATACTTTTTTTTTGTCAGGGGAAAATCATCCAATGACTTCTCCCGCCCAGGGTAAGGCGAGAGAGAGTGTCAGACTCTTACTGACTAAAAACCCACCCGTTCCTTCTCCTGCTCTGGGCCGAGGTCGCGGTGCCTCATTGCGCTTACCCCGCAGCCCCGGCTAAACATCAGCCCTATTGGGCCCCGACTGTGGTGGTCTATTGGCTCTTTGAGGCGCGCTCGGAACGCTATGCGCCGTACGCTCGGGTCCGGTTCTGGTCGGGCGGCGAGCTACCCTTACTCGCCATCCGCAGACCCGCGCTTACGGTGGCCGGAGATCATCTCTCGATCTCCGACGTCCGGAATGTCGCCTTCTGCGGCGGCTGGGGCGCGAGGAGGATAGTTCCCTCACGCGCTCCGCCTCCTCCTTTACGAGCATAACTGCTTCGCTGAAGGAGGAGATAGCTTCCCAGTTCCTCTCACGCTGCACCATGACCTCGATTAAGGCCGGGCGCGAGAGGTCGCTGCCGCCGATCACTTCCCTGAGAACACGGCGGTGCTCAGCCCAAGCATGGCACTCCGCCACCGTATGCTCCACCTTGTCCTCCAGGTGATCCTCACAATGACGACACTCGGGCGTTTCCTCCCGCTGGATCCGAAACAGGAACCTAACAAAGCTGTCATGCCCGGTAAGCACCTACGTCAGACGGAAGGTGAGGACGCCGTGGCGTCTCTCAAGCCACTCCTCAAAGAGGGGTCTTACCAAGTCTCTTTATACCTAAAAGTATTACCATCAACAGATGAACATCAAACACTTACCCAGAACCAAAGCGACACAGAGTGTTAGAACAGTCAGGATGCGCATTGTGTGTTTAGTAATTATTCGGAGACAAATGGAATTCAAAATGGTCATGAAGCTATTTATACTAATTATGAAGGAGACAACGGGAAGAGCAAATTTAAATGATTTTATCTATTTCCGCAACATATCAGTTACCTTTGGACATTGATCAATGGCTAGCTAGATAATGCACAGACACCTTTGTGATAAAAGTAAGGATTCATTTTTTTTTTGTTTTTTATGCGTTTGTGATTTTTTAGACTTTATTTAAATATTTTTTTTACAAGACCTCCCTTAGAGGAGTGGCTTGAGAAACGCCATAGTGTCCTCACCTCCTGCCTAACGCGGGTGCTTACCGGGTACGGCAGCTTCGGAAGACATGGTTGACGCCAGGGTTATTAAGGAGATGTACTATCAGCAACGATTTGTTTGCTGCTGTTTATATGTTATACCAGCAGCCGTTATTCAAAAATAATCCTTATAGCATGATTCAGTGCTCACATGCGACCGTGAGTTAAGCAAAAAATATAGACATACGAAATAAATTTGTTGATAATTTTATGTAGAATATTTCCGTCATACGTAATTTCTATGTAACTTTACCCATTAAGGCTTAAAAGGGAGTAACTTCTCCCGTTTTCCCAACATTTCCCTTCACTGCTTTGCTCCTATTATTTGTAGCGTGATGAAAGGTATTCTATAACCTGTCTAGGAGTATAAAGAATAATTGTATCAAGTTTTTTTTTTAATTTTTGTTACTAAAAGGAACATACAGACAGACAGACAGACAAAATTTTTACTGATTGCATTTTTGGCATCAGTATCAATCACTTATCACCGCCTAGTAGTTATTTTGAAAATATATTTAATATGCAGAATTGACCTCTCTACAGAATGTTTATAAGTAAAGATATTAAGATTCATTTTATCTATTATTAATGTAATGTTATCTGCCATGTATCGAATGATGTGTTAATACGGAAAAGAGTTTCCGGAGATAGCGTTTGAACCCAGAACAACTATTTCATGTAAGTAGAACTCACTTTGATTATCAACGATGAATGCAACAGACGTGTAGTTTTAAATTATATTTTACTATCAATTAATGTCATTTTATATTATTTTGTTATTGGCATAAAGTTTCCGGATCAGATATGGTTAAATATTTAGTGCAAGGATACAGGATAACTGATGCTGAGGATGGCCACTGGCCAGTTTTTCACCCCAAAAAGTCCCTTTTTTTGTGTCGGGTATGAAAATCCTCATGGAGACCCACCGCCTTCGGGGAAGGGCGAATGGTACTGCCAGACTCTTACTGACTAAAAACCAACCCGGTGTTTCTCCAATTTTCCATGTGTCGGAGGGGCGGGCATCGCCGAAGCATTCGTCGCAAAACCTCCGACGAGTATTGGCCCGCCAGATCGTTAGGACCGCAAAAAGTCCCTCAGATTATAAGATGCAGATCCCTTTATTCAGATTTTTTTAATTTTTTACCGACTACGATAGGCTTTACTTTTAGCGGAATATAAATCAAAGATTTTTTCATTAATTGATTGAAACTAATTTGAAAAATGTTTTAGTAGAAGAAAACAGTTTTCATGACTTAAACTCCTGTTATTATTCTCGATTTTGTTCTAAAAATTTCTTTTTTTTTTCACTTTTGTTACACACTGTGTCTTACATTTTAATTACATTTCCTGTCTCAGGTCTACTGGAAGAAATTCCAACAGGAATAAGTAGCACCTTTGTACTCTTATTT